TCAGTACAGTAACAATGCTATACGTTATAGCAATAGGTAGCTGCTATCCATGCAAAAACAGTCAAAGTACATGGTAATAATTCCTATGTGCTTTGCCATCCAAATGTTTGAAATGCTAATAAAGTTACAGTACAGTAACAATGCTATACGTTATAGCAATAGGTAGCTGCTATCCATGCAAAAACAGTCAAAGTACATGGTAATAATTCCTATGTGCTTTGCCATCCAAATGTTTGAAATGCTAATAAAGTTACAGTACAGTAACAATGCTATACGTTATAGCAATAGGTAGCTGCTATCCATGCAAGAACAGTCAAAGTACATGGTAACAATTCCTATGTGCTTTGCCATCCAAATGTTTGAAATGCTAATAAACATACAGTACTGTAGTAGTACCTTCAATATACTATAGGGGGAAAATTGATATAATAAAAACAGCAATGAAAGAATATCAGAATTCAACACGACATTCAATCAATCAGTTACTGATGTGTCGTGTTTCAATTTAAGAAATGGAATCACACCAATACTATATGTATGTTTGTAGTAAAATTACTGTAGTGAGCTGAAATCACTACAATGCTTGAACCGGTGTCCATTGATGAGTATAAAATTATCTCTTGCTGACTTTCATCAGTCCAGTGTGATGTAATCCAGCAATAGTTGGTAGGTTATCGCTCAAGTAGGTTAGTTTTACGCTGTATGGCTGTAGTCCATAGTTGATACTACTGTATGTGTAAGTCGATTGCCGGGATGGCGAGTCAAATGGTGGAATAGTTAAGCCATTGGTAAAAAAGCTAAGGAATTCACTTCGATTGGAAACACCTACTATACTGTGCGTTAGCCAAGCATTTCAAGAATAATGCTGCTGGCACAGTCCAGCAGACGGCTTAGCTATCGTATCTGCTAGAGTGCTGCTGCATCGTCTTACGAGCCAGTGTTATCATTAACATGTGTAGGAATTGTTACCGTGTCCTACTGCAGCTGGCGTATTACTAATGCGCTATTCTTGAGATATTAAGATACTATCCGGTGAGACAAATTGAAGTGAGTCCTCTGTATCCTACTGTA